CTCTGTACCTGACCTTGTCTTAAATGTCATGACCAGTCAAGACAAAACCTCAAACGCTGAAAATAACGCACAAAATCCTTTGACAGCGAAAGCGTAACGAACTGCAGAATATCTGGACAATCGGGGATGCTTTCCTCTTCAAATATTGTCACACGCAGAGGAATTGCGGATTCACCGCATATGCCAAAAATAATTTGCACAGGGTTATTCATACCGAAACGCACTGGATTTGAATTGCCATTTCTATGTTGTGGAGGTCATATTAGAAAAAAAAAATGTATGTGTTTTCAAGACCTACGATTATACAGTTCGAAAGGGAGCCGAATAGATGTATCAGTCGTCGCCGTCCTCACCGACCTCGAACTGAAATGAACTAAATAGGTCGAAGTAACAGGAAGAGAGAATACTCCCCCCGAGCAAAGTTTGGTTGTTCAAATGAAAGGAGGTAAACAGAATCTTGAAAGAGTATATATTTATATCTAAGGTTCTGTGTCTTTCAGCTTTTTTCGTCGTCCTTTAAAATCAACCGGATGGCCGTAAGCGCTAACATCTTTGTTAACAAGACGCTATGCCGGAGCGTACACCTCGGCGACGTGGTTGTGGAACTGGTTGACTGTAAATGCGGAGGAATAGTAAGAAATGAATTATGGTAAGAGTAAGGTGTTAATTTGTGAAATTATGGGATCTGTCAGGATATTCTGAAAAGAGCAACATCCAAGAGGCCTACTTGCCAAAAACTAGCATTTTGGGGCAAATGAAATGTTTTTCAACACTCGACGAGAAATTTCCCCTCTCTGCGCGGCCATGTAATATCCTCTATTTATTTCTCGAGTAAATTAAAGACTAAACTCAAAGTGATCTCAAGATATCACGAAGTAGTCCGGTCACATTTCGTGAAATAGCCGAAACAAGCCGGAAAGTCACGAACGTGCGCGCCCAATCTTGTCCCGAAAATAGTGCATAATTTTATAGCTATTTTTCATATCCCGAACTACCTTAGGTCGCAGTAGCCTCCCCGCAGACGTCCTTTGGGGTTCATTTGTCACGCATTCACAAACGAACCCCAAAGGACGTCTGCGGGGAGGCTAGGCGGTTCCGGGCTTGTCCATGTAATACCAGGAAATTAACACCCGGATAAAAGTCACCTCGGCAGAGCAAGCCAACCTGACAGCCTGGCTCATGTAATCAGCCAACCTCGTTCCCAGGGTTCTCTCCTACCCGTGCCTACGGAGCGGGCAAGAGAGAGACCCTGGTTGGGTCTGGTCACGTGTCTCCAGAATAAAATTAATTCTGAGGGAGGAGTCCTTCATCTCTCAATTTTGTGCCTCGTTCACGAAATGATGGCAAGAGCCAGATAGAGTTGCTAACCCTTCAACCACTGAACTGAAACCATGGGAAATTTATGCCTAAACATAACTGCCACTAGATAAGAGGAGAAAGCAAAAACTGGCGTAGTCGCAGTTAAACCGACGACAACAATCGCTAAATCTACGATCTTGAGTTCTACACAAGCGTGTTATATTGAGGGGAAAATCCCCTTATCAGCTGAAAGTATCAATGCTTGACTGACATTGGCTGCTGGTAATAGGGCCGAATCAGTATACTGCAAAAGCTAAACCATTAGCGGTCTTAGCACTTCGGAAGCAGGGAATTCTTATCACATTTCCTGAACGGTCAAAATAATATTTTAGATCTAGTACCTTTACGGAAAGCTATAGTCTGAAATGAAATGTCAGCTTTCTCCACCCCCTAACCTTTCGTTATGATGGCCGGCAATAGAAAAACTTATCGCTTTAAGTGGTAGGTAGAGATATAAAGTGCGTACAAACAAATGCAAAGGATGACCAAAGCGCGACGAATGACAACAGGAAATCATGCAGCATAAACAGAGACAAAACAGACAACATAACCTTTCTAGCGAAAGGCTTTCTTTTAGATGGTTCATATGAAAACTTTATTCGAAAGCACAGGAATGCAGCCCAGTAATTTCTTGAAATCCTCTAAAGCCAAGCATACCTAACCCTCCTGAAAAATAAAAAAAATAATAATAAAAAAAATCAATAAACGGCTGGCGTCGTTCAAGCCATATTTTTACTTCCTGCAGAGCGCGAAGTAAAGGATTCGCGACGCCCAGGAATGTATCAAAGTTGACATTTTTGCGACAAGATTGGGCACGCTAAGTCTGTAGGTTTTCGTTTTATTCGGCTATTTGACGAAGTGAGAGACCAATTAATTCGAGATGTCTCGAGATCACTTCGATTTCTTTGATTTATTCTTTAACTTACGGACGGACCATTAGAAAAGTTATGGGAGGGGGGGGGGGGGGAGGGGGGGATTTTCGAGCCGCAGGAATTTTTTTGTTATCAAATTCTTTGTATGAATTTTATTTTTTAGGTCATAGCATGAATATTTTTTAGGGTTAATTGGCGTGAATAAATTTTTTTTCATTTAATTTACTCTTGCGCTAATAATTTTTTTGTACTTGGGCGAAGTGTCAGTGGTTTGGTATTCAGTTATACAGAAGAAAGACGCAAGTGTGATTGCATTTGCCAAGATAAAACCTACTCTTTCATTGCAGTTCATAACTTTATAGCTTTTACTTTATAACATAGCTAGAAAAATCGCCTAATTAAATTCAATAGCGCGAGCGTGCTACAAATTCCCCTTGATCACGCTGGTGACGTCAGTAAGTGGTCGTGAGCTTAGCAATCCTCTCAAGACGTCTCTCAAGTGCATCCATAACTCAACAGTACACAATGAAGCGTTTTTACCATACTAATTTGAAGTTAGATGGTTCAATTTGAAAATTTCTGGCTTTTTTCCTAAAGAGAAAGATCAGTTGTTACAAAGGCGTTTCCATTACATCGAGCAAATCACAACAAGAAGGAGACTGCCAAATACAGTACATTTGATGTTTGCAACCGAGAAATTCCCACATTCCTATGTGACACTGGCTTTGTTTAAACTGTTGGCTGGAGAAAGCAACTATTAAGAAATCATAACCGAAAATCGAAACTTATCTTTTTATCAAAATAAGTTGGGTACACAGGAAGTGTTTACTTGGTGGTTGTTATCATATGAAGATGAAAGACCGCAATTGTGATTTCATTTGCAGGAAAAAAGTCGACAATATTGGGCAATTATCTGAAGGAAACAAACTGTTTTTCTATCACTTGATATCACTGAAGTGTTGGTTCAACTTGAATCAGTGGGCTTTGATTTACTAAAGAAAAAAGTTTACGGTACAATGATAAAACCTTATCTTTAATTGAAGTTCATCGCTTTAACTTTATAACATAGCTAGAAAAACCGCCTAATCAAATTCAATAGCGCTGCTGCGCCTCGAGCAACTCTTACGCCTCTTTCGTGCTCTCCAAACTTTCCGCGTACTCAATATCTCGATATACGCACGCTGACGAATGAACAAATTGTTAATTAGTGCTCCTCTGATAGACTGAACCCGACGGTTCAGTGGGGTTAATAACCATATTTGAAACCACATTACACAGTCATTACAGCAAGGAATTTTGTAAAAAGGTATGATTAGGGACCTTAAGATACGAGGACGGGGAGCCAGGACGGCGACGGGGCTGGATGAGGAAGACTAGGTCGAGCCCCGTCGTGCCCGCCCAAAAAAAAATACTTAAGAGCAAACAATTTTCACTTGGGACGGCATCGGCGATATTTCTTTCACAAACAAATATGTCGACCTTTAAAGACGCTAGGACCTTTCTTCTAAAAAGCTACTTAGACGTTGTGATAGACGACGATGCATTTATTCTACTATGCAATGAGAGCTTCTTGAAGAAGCCAAAATCTCCAGATGAATTTTTTTTATTTTTACTTGCAATAATGACATCAAAATACAAGAATACAGAAACAACACACTAAACTCCTCTAGTGCCACTTCAATGCTGCTCATGCCGGTTTCAATTCCACCTGTTTTTTTTTCTCTTTTTTTCAGTTTGCTCCTCAGTTCTTTAGCCACGCGAGAAGGTTGTAGCGATCTCGAACTGCCCTTTTGTCAACTGTGAAATAAACAGCTTCAATTTGGTTCAAGTTTTCAGCGACCTCTTCCCTTTTCTTTCCTCTCGCTACAGGGCTCTTTTTTGTCCCAGTGAAGGGATCAACAACCATGATTTCCTGGCACATTTCATCGTGAAAAGAACTCCATACCACTGGCTTCCTAAAAATATTAGAATCCAATTCAGGCGTATAAATCTTTAGTTAAAAAATGAAATTGCTTTTCAAATGAGCAAAAGGTAAACACCGCCGGACTGTCAGGAGGTACAAGTCAAAGAAACCTTCACTGAACCTTTTTCTACTCGATTGTTACTTCACTGTAACTGGATCTATTTTAACTTCACTTACACTGATTTACTTTTCTTCACTGGGCACTCAGGAACATTCATGGTCGCGACTGCAAAACAAACAAACAATGATGAACATAAATTATGGCCTTTTTTTCTCATTTCGAAATATTTCCGACAGAAATCGTGAAGAATATGATCTTAAGAAACACCAGGGTCAGAATATCTGAAAAGGGAATCGATATCGCCTTATTGTAGGTGAAAACAAGCCGCGAATACTCACGTTTTCCAGACGACGGCAAAACAGGCTGAATGGCGTCCTAGGCGAGACCAGGACGGCAAGAACACGAGTTTGGGCTTCGTGTGCGCATGCCTCGTTGTGCAAATTTACTTCCGGTAGCCGTCGTAGCTTGTCCCGTCCTCGTATCTTAAGGTCCCTATTAACCATCACCAAGTAAAACGGCCAACACTCAGCCAGGGCAGTTTATACCATAAAGTTTACACGAACTTTTATGTTCATCCCCGGCCGATATATCTCTTTGAAAAAGTTCCAAGTTATGTCCAGTGATCCGACATCGAGAAGAAGATGGCCAAGTATTGTTTTCTCTGTCGGTAAATTTGTTGTTTTGGTTCGTTAAAAGTTTCAACTTCCTGTCCTTTGGAGTTTCTTACCCGAAGAAAACGACAAAGGAAGCGGTAAACATTCCTTTAACAGCGGCTTCACTGGGGGGGAGGGGGTGGGGGTACTTGGGTTAATGTTTGCTGGGTATGTACCGCTGGCCTCTCAGAGCCCCTACGCCATTATAGTCTATTTTTTGGCCAATTATAGACCCCATCTTAGTCACTTTTTGGCAAATGTAATTTTCGCGATCCCAACTTAGTCACTTCCTATTTATACATCTACCATGTCAGTGGTTTCAAGCGGCGGAATGTAATGCGGTCAATTCGAGCTTATTGTTAACTTAATAAACAACAACTTTCTTAAAATGCAACCCCATTATACGGGGGCACCCAACGTCAATTTTCGGAAAATATCTGTTCGGAAGACGATTTGAGATCTAGAATTTTCGGATCATTTGTTGTAAAATTTCTTGCTTGCCTGCCTCTCCTAGGATTTTCGAACATCTAAAAAATGGTATAATTGCCCATTTTTAATTGATTTTTACCCAAAAAAGCTCACCTAGAATTTTCGGGAGCCTTTTTTCTGGCTGAAATTTTCGAAAAGGTAAGTTTTGATCCCTATAATTTTCGGATCACTCGACTTTCAGCTAGGAAATCCGAACAGATGAAAAATTTTTAGGAGATAAAAATATGCCTAAATCTACCGTTTAAATACTAAAATACGTTCACAATGCTTTGTTTAAGTGTTTTTGAACTATGTTCTCGTTGGATGCCCCTGATTATAGTCACTCAACTCGTGAAAATGCGACCCCATCCAAAACGTTCAATGTATATATACATCGGCTTAACTGACCAAGTATTACCGTGGCGGGCAAGAGGTGGGACGACCAAATGATGGAATTCCGGCTGATGGACGGCTCCCGGCCGTTTCCGCTCTCCAATTCTTTTGTCGACTCGGGGAATCTTCTTCTCCATTTCGAAATATCGGTCACCATGTTTCACTCTTAACTATCTTGCTAAAGGTTTAGAAATACACCGCAGTGTATGTTTTTGCCTGTCTGATCGGGCTTAAACCAGTTGTAATGTGGGACAGAAATATAGTATGTATATTTATTTTAAACGCTTGGTGGTAGTTTTGTGTAGCTTTTTTTAGTACATCGGGCCTCAAAGGTCTTCCGTGTGATTTTCCTGTACAATAAACATACATTGAAAGAGCAAATAAATATTTTCCTTTGCGGATCTCAACCTAAATCCAGTCTTCAGTCAGATGGAAAGCATAACGGTCCGAAACAGTTTCGATATTTTCTTACATATCCTTCTACATTTCTCTCGGCCAGTACACGTTTTCTTAAGTTCGTCTTTACAACAATTACAAGAATGACTCAATGGGTTGAAATTTTTAGAGATTTTGACGGTTGACGGGTATTAACCGGAACTTTAACCTAAAGTGCATGAATTCATATCAAATGTTGTTTTAAAGGACGTTGTCATTGCTATTAACTTACAAAATTTCGAAGTATTTTCAGATATGAGTATAGCGAAAGGTAATGTATACCTTATTATAGGAAATTAACGCTCCATGAAATTAACGCGAATCGTTAAAATTCGCGTTAATTTAAGGTGGCTCCGTAATTAATACAAGAGCATTTTGCTGTGACAAATTTTCCGTCATAACTTTTTGGTTTTTAACGCGATGGCTGCGAAACTTTGCAAAGAACAACAGATATCATTCGGCAATAATACGAAATATTCCGATTTCATTGATGGTAAATATTTCTTGAGAAATTAGCGCTTAAAAGGACCCTACTGTTCAAAGAAAATGGCGTCTAGTAAAAAATTTTGCTGATATTTTTTACTGAAATTTCTGGTATCGGCTTTAATTGATATAATAAATATACCAGAGGAATTTCAGAAAAATCGTTGGAGCAGAAGTCCGTAACTAAAAGTCACTCAAAATTCAGCTGTGAAATTGTTTTGGAATTTGAAAAATAAATTACCATCAGGGAGAAGGAGCCACCAGTTTGAATTTTCGAGACAAGGAAATTCAACGTTTGCTAATTCTTAAAATAAAAGCCGATTGCCTATCGTGCTATTCTTTAAAAGGTACTTTTTAGGTTTAGAAGCACTATAAATGGCTCCACACCTTGCTCTGACGTCGAATGACTTGTTCTTCGACATTTTTAAAATATCCCTTGGCAGTTTTGGCTCAAACTCCTGCTGCATACATTTTGATGTACTGCAATGCATTTTCAACGACTTTTACTGCTGTTCGTTGCTTCCAACTCAGGAAAAAAGTATTGAGATTGGACGCTACCTCGTATCAGAGTTCAGATAGAACTGTCCAGCACCTTTGTTTATGACTACAAAATGAGCATGAGCGGCATTTCTTCGAGGAATTCGCACCTCACCCAGGGGGGAAGAACGACAATGATGACCATGCCTGTGAACCGAATAACATCACAGTGCAAAATAAACTATTATCGCAAAAATACTGCCTGTGAATAAATTTACAACTCTGAAATTTTTGTCACTCCTTCCTTCAATGAATGGGTATTTTTTTCTTGATTATTATGTTTTGCTCTGCAATACATGTTTATACAGATCGGTTCACAGATATGGGCATGATCGTCATTCGTCCCCCTGGCTGAGGTGCGAATTCCTCGCAGAGCTGCCGCTCGTGCTCATTTTCTGGTCATAAACAAAGGTGCTGGACAGTTCTATCTGAGCTTCGATACAAGGTAGCTTACAATTATTCCAATACCTTTTTCCTGAATTGAAACAACGTACAGCAGGAAAAGCCGTTGAAGATGCATTGTAATACATCAAAATGTATGTAGCAGGAGTTTGAACCAAAACTGCCAAGGGATATTTTAAAAACGTCGAGGAACAAGTCATTCGACGTCAGAGCAAGGCTTGGAGCAATTTATAGTGCTTCTAAAACTGAAAAGTACCTTTTAAAGAATAGCACGATAGGCAATCGGCTTCTGTTTTCAGAATTAGCAAACATTGAATTTACTTGTCCCGAAAATTCAAACTGGTGTCTCCTTCTTCCTGATAGTAATTTATTTTTCAAATTCCAAAACAATTTCACAGCTGAATTTTGAGTGACTTTTAGTTACGGACTTCTGCTCCGACGATTTTCAAAACAGGGGCTAAAAAGCACTGCCGGATAGCACGGATAGTTAGAACAGTTGATTTGGACGAATTCTCGCAATGCGGAACTGATCACAAATCACCGCGGTACGTTCCTGAAATGATTCAGGCCTTTAACAGTTGCGTGTTTGAAGCTTTTTGTTTTCTGTCTTTTTTCCTAAAAAGAAAAATAGAATATTTAAAGGAGAAAAATACTCTGGTCTACTCTCCGGTCAGGTAGAAATTGGGCTGAACATTCATGACGGAATAGTAATCGGCTGACCGCTTTCACATTGCTTAAACTGAAGTACTGTGGCTACACATGCCTGATATTTGGGAAGGGTGTTAAGGGTCTTCAATATACTAAATGCCCCACAGTCGTAAAATTTAATAGAATTTCTACGATATGGCTTTTCTCTTTGAGAAGTGCCAGGTGATTAACAGAGTAGCTTCGCAGCTAGCCTCCCACGGCAGACGTTCTTAGGGGTTCGTCACGCGTTCCTGTCCCATCGTATTTCGTGATGCTAGTAGTAATAAATCACTAAGAGATGTAAGAGACAAACAAGCAAAAAAATGATGAAAGTTGAACGAACAGGAAGTTTGAACAATATTTTAACAAAAGCTTTATTTTTTTTCCTACATCAGATTGCCAGTGTTCATGTATGCACATTGAAACGATGCCTGTTTGTTCAGTTTTTCTTAATTCAGCATGTTTTGAGCAAAAGATCGACAAATTATGAAATATGTTTGTGAATCAGTTTCTTGCTTCTTTTATGGTTGAATTTAATGAGGTTTAATAGGCCATTTCCGAGTTCCAAAAAATCTCACTTTCAAAACGAGGCTAAGTGCGAAACCTTTGTAGTGAAAATGAGCTTTATTTGCATCATAATTAAAAATTATTTTCATATCATTGGTTTCGCACTGAGCCTCGCTTTGAAGGTGAGATTTTTTGGAACTCGGAAATGGCCTATTGCCTCATGCACAATTATACGGATGAAAGACGCAAGTGTGATTGCATTTGCAGAAAAAAGACAATATCGGGCAATTATCTGAAGAAAACAAACTAATGCTTAGACACTATTGTTTTTCTATCACTTGATATCACTGAAGTGTTGGTTCAACTTGAGTCAGTGGGTTTTGATGCACTAAAGAAAAAGGTTTTAGGTACAGTGATAAAAATCTACTCTTTAATTGCAGTTCATAACTTTATAGCTTTTACTTTATAACATAGCCAGAAAAATTCAATAGCGCGAGCGTGCTACAAATTCCCATTGAGCACCCTGGTGACGTCAATAAGTGGTCGTGAGCTTAGCAATTCTCTCAAGACGTCTCTCAAGTGCATCCACAACTCAACAGTACACAATGAAGCTTTTACCATATTAATTTGAAGTCAGATGTTCAATTTGAAAATTTCTAGCTTTTTTCCTAAAGAGAAAGATCAGTCGTTACAAAGGCGTTTCCATTACCTCGAGCAAATCACAACAACAAGGAGACTTCCAAATATCGTATATTTGATTTTTGCAACCGAGAAATTCCGACATTTGATCCTTTGTGACACTGGCTTTGTTGAAACTGTTGGCTGGACAAAGAAACTATTAAGAAATCATAACAGAAAATCGAAACTTATCTTTTTTATCAAAATAAGTTTTGTACACAGGAAGTGTTTACTTAGTGGTTGTAATCATATGAAGAAAGACGCAATTGTTATTTCATTTGCAGGAAAAAGGACAATATCGGGCAATTATCTGAAGAAAACAGACTAATGCTTGCTTTTCTATCCCTTGATGTCACTGAAGTGTTGGTTCAACTTGAGTCAGTGGGTTTTGATTCACTAAAGTTTAGGGTGCAGTGATAAAACCTTATCTTTAATTGCAGTTCATCGCCTTACTGCATTAACTTTATAACATAGCTGGAAAAACCGCCTAATCAAATTCAATAGCGCGGCTGCTCCTCGAGCAACTCCTACGCCCCTTTGGTGCTTTCCACACTTTCCGCGTACTCAATATCGCGACATACGCACGCTGACGCATGAAAAAATTGTTAATCAGTGCTCCTCTGACAGACTGAACCCTGCCTCCTGGGGATTTCGCCTTCTGGGCGAAATCCCTGCGGGGGCAATTATAAAGCTTACACGAACTTATATGTTCATTCCCGGCCGATATATCTCTTTGAAAAAGTTCCAATTTATGTCCAGTGATCAGCCATCGAGAAAAAGATGGCCAAGCATTGTTTTCTCTGTCGGCAAATTTGTTGTTTTGGTTCGTTAAAAGTTTCAACGTCCTGTCCTTTGCAGTTTCTTGCCTGAAGCAAACGAAGCGGTAAACATGCCTTTAACAGCGGCTCCACTGTTTTCAGGCTGTTTGTTGGAGGAGAATGAACCACTAAAATTACATCATAACGGAATTACAGTTACATTTTGATATGACTATAACGATTTTCAATTTGTTAAAACAAAAGTTATTTTTGTTTGAAATGAAAGATTGACTCATAGCTAGCCTTGGCCTATTTTAGTCAAAGCACAAGAAACGTCAACTAGGTTTTTTTTTTATACTTTTTACGTCACAAACTAGAATTCATTTTCGGGCCAAGGAGACATGTGTATATCATACCCATTGGTAATTTGATTTATAGAACTTAAGCTAGCTTTTTAACTTCTTTTAAAACATAAACACAAAATATCAGTTGCATCACTGTCAAATCGTCCGCTACAAAAACAAAATACTTCAACTTGAGTAGCAAGCCCAATTTTTTCTGCTCCTAATTAATTTCCTTCATTTTTACGTAATCTTGGCAGGAACGCGTGACGAACCCCTAAGAACTGCGTGGGAGGCTAGGAAGTTACCGCTTTTTACGCATGTCTTGTCATCACTTAACTACCCGGAGAAATATTCGATCGATTCATTTCAACTCTGTTATACAAGCGGTAGACAAGATGGTTGACTCGGTCGTCTCATTCGTGTTGAAAGTCACTGAAGATTGGGGCAGAAAATTAGTAACACAATGGCTCAGAAGTCGTGGTGCATTTGCTCAGTCGCTAAGTGACCTCTTAGAAACGGATTTGAGTACCATGAAAAGGCAACTAGAAGCACTGATAAAAAAAGATCTTCGTGAAAGTATCCACCTTTTAAGTCAGGGACTTTCATTAATTCCGGATGCAGATGCAGGCCCATCAAGCCCAAAGAGAACGAAAATGGATCACACTGATGGAGAACTGAACCCCAGTATTGTAAAAATCAGTTTCAGCTACGAAGCAAAAGAGAGGTTCAAGGATGCCCGTAAGAAAGCAGGATCAGCCTTTGCTAATGAAGCAACGAAGACGTTAGACGCAATTTTAGCCACTTCTATAATGGTTTTATCGCAAATGCTAGAAACTGACGATTTAGCCACCGCATCCAGGCTTTGTTTAGTTTACTTAGAACAACTTCATTCTCACAAAGATGTTAAAAAAAGCTTTGAAGATGAATTTAGATATATTGAAACAAGGGGAAAGGTACTACAATTTCCGCCAGTATTTGGCTCCATTGACGCTAGAAAAATCGTTTGGTGCGTCTGTCGCTTGAATCGCTTTGCTTTCGATATGGCAAAGGAGAGTGGCGAAGCTGAAAGATCTCCGGAGCACTTTAAAGCCTGGCCATGTGTTAAACTTACAAACCACCAAAAAGAAATTGATCCTTTGCGTGATCCAAGGTTAATCGATATTTTTAAGCTAGAAAACCGGCCATTTTCTATTGCGCCTTCGTTATTTGGCCAAAACGACGCAAGAGAAGAGTTGAGACCTCAGTCACCCAGTGAGAGAGTTGAAACAACTACAGACGAAGAGTACAGAAACGATATCGTATTCGCAAAAGCTTCCCCGAGTCATTTAACCTATGAAACACCTCAAGATCACGCCAAGGATGTTGCACTGGTTTCATCGGAGACGCCCTCTGAAGTGAGTCGTGAATTGTTTCCCAAAAGAGGCACAAAGAGAAGGAGAAAGGAAGAGGAGCAGGACGAAAACAAAAGAAAAAAATAGTTATGTGAACAATGAGCGTTTTAAAAAGAGCAGTTGGTACTTTTTGCTGACGAGTTTTGTGGCGAAGCAGAATTCTTTCCTTTACACGCGGAAAAAAGCGTTTGCACTGGTTTCCCTCAATCGTTGCAAGCGAACAGTTTTGTCTGATTTAGAATGTCTCTAGGGTCAACGTCTTTCCTTTCTCTCAACGGTCGATATATATATATATAGACTGGCTTAACTGGCCAAGTGTTACTGTGGCTGGCAAGAGGTGGGTCGACCAAATGAGTATTTTGCCTCATTGATCGAATATCATTCTGCTCTTTATTTCACCATTTCTGTAACCTTATTCTTCATTCATGACATGACCATAACAATTTCAGTTATAGCTCAAAAATTAATACCAGCATCATTTCCAGTTCCAACGCCAGCCGCCATCATTTTTATATTGAAACTCCTAGTCCATCTTAGTAACACGGTTTACTTAATAACACGACGGCAAGTTCTGCTGTTTATAATTGTCAAGTTACATACAAGCTAAGGTGTGTTTTTATGATATCAGTATTTTTAGCTGATTAAGTGCTCCGGAGATAGCTGACAAAGCGACATAGAGTATTGTAAATGTTGTAGTTATTATTATTATTTTTTTAATCTCAGGTTACATGTATTTTAATGTTTCGTTTGTTTTAACTTCATTAGCACACATTACCATACCCCAAAACAAGAGAAAAAACAAAAATTACCTGAGATAAAAAAAAAATAAGTACAACATAAACATAAATCTGAGATATCTCAATATTCAAAAAAAAAAACTCGGCTTACTACTCATAGAGTGATTTTAGGGCCTAAGCATTTTATTTTTGGTGTGTATGTGTGTGTGTGTGTGTGTGTGCAGTGTGAGTGAGTTTGAAATTTAAGTGAGGATGTATGAGCGAATGGAGGTGGGTGTATTCGCGGGCTGTAGTTAAATCAATGTGAAACTATCTTGCTAAAGGTTTAGAAATACAATGCAGTTATATTTTTGCCTGTCTGATCGGGCTTAAACCAGTTGTAATGTCGGACTGAAAAATAGCATGTACTTATTTTAAACGCTTGGTGGTAGTTTTGTGTAGCTTTTATTAGTACATCTGGCCTCAAAGGTCTTCCGTGTGATTTTCCTGTACAATAAACATACTTTGAAAGAGCAAATAAATATTTTCCTTTGTGTATTTCAACCTAAATCCAGTCTTCAGTCAGATGGACAGCATAACGGTCCGGAACAGTTTCGACATTTTCTTACATATCCTTCCACATTTTTCTCGGCCAGTAGACGTTTTCTTAAATTGTCTTTATAACAATTCCTAGAATGTCTCAATGGGTTAAAAAATTTTAGAGATTTTGGCGGTTGACGGTTATTAAGTTGAACTTTAACCTAAAGTGCATGAATTCATATTAAATGTTGTTTTGGAGGACGTTGTCATTGCTATTAACTTATGAAATTTCGAAGTATTTTCAGATATGAGTATAGCGAAAGGTAATGTATAAGTGTCTAGAAAGACATCAGACTGTTTCGTGAGAAAAAGTAATCATGAAAATTTAAAAACCGCCTAGTCATAGCTAGGCGGTCTCTTCAATAACAAGCCGTGGGGGTTGAATTGGCGCCAAGGAACATTTAAAAAGCACTGCGGGGCATATTTAACTTGCGAAACGTCGTTCAAAGTCATATTTAGTCTTTCCTTGTAACAAAGAAACTTTTTGTGTTAAGCTTCATTTAAGTACAAATAGCAAGCAAACAGCGGCTAAAAAGCACTGCCGGATAGCACGGATAGTTAGAACAGTTGATTTGGACGAATTCTCGCAATGCGGAACTGATCATAAATCACGGAACGTTCCTGTAATGATTCAGGCCTTTAACAGTTGCGTGTTTGAAGCTTTTTGTTTTCTGTCTTTTTTCCTAAAACGAAAGATAGAAGATTTAAAGGAGAAAAATACTGTGGACGGTCAGGTAGAAATTGGGCTGAACATTCATGACTGAAGAGTAATCGGCTGACCGCTTTCAAATTGCTTTAACTGAAGCACTGTGGCTACACATGCCTGATATTTGGCAAGGGTGTTAAGGGTCTTTAAAATACTAAATGCCCCACAGTCGCAAAATTTAATAGAATTTCTACGATATGGCTTTTCTCTTTGAGAAGTGCCAGGTGATTAACAGAGTGGCTTCGCAGCTAGCCTCCCACGCAGACGTTCTTAGGGGTTCGTCACGCGTTCCTGCCCTACTATAGCCTGCGAACCGCAGACGTATTTCCGATCGTCGCTTCTCTCAGAAGCGACGACCGGAAATACGCCTGCGGTTTGCAGGCTAGCTCCGTTAACGTCTGCTGATTTAGTGGGGCAGGAACACGTGACGAACCCTTAAGAATGTCTGCGTGGGAGGCTACTTTGCAGCTGACTAGTTTTTGGTTGAGTGGGCATACAGAGAAACCGCCGAGTGTTCCTCCTATTTTGGAAAATACAAAAAAAAATGGTTTTCCTCTGAGATTTTATAACTTCAAGCAGACAGAAAGCAATTTATAAAGTTACGTTAACTTCTACTTTCTTTAAAGGCCTCCAGCAAATGCAGCTGATCGTGTGATGCTTATTACTAATAAATCACTAAGAGACGTAAGAGACAAAATGATAAAAGTTGAGTAAACAGGAAATTTGAACATTCTTTTGACATAAGCTTTATTTTTTTCCTACATCAGATTGCCAAGTGTTCATTTATGCACATTGAAACGATGCCTGTTTGTTCAATTTTACTTCTTTTGCTTAATTCAGTATGTTTTGAGCAAAAGATGGACAAATTATGAAATATGTTTGTGATACAGTTTCTTGCTTCTTTTATGGTTGAATTTAATGAGGTTTAATTACCTCATGCACTAAAGACAATGACATGCCAGGAGGGTAAAACCAGAGCAATCAAGTTCGAAAAAAAAGCAAAAAAAAAAAAAACAAGATCACCTATATCATTTCTTTCATAGCAAAAGAAAAGTTTAGCTTGAAGAAAGAAGAAATTACACTGAACCAACCGAAATTCAATTCATTTTCTGGCCATGGGGACGGTGGGGTGTATATCATACCCATTGGTAATTTAATTATAGAACTTAAGCAATTTTAACTTCTTTTAAAAAATAAATCCAAAATATCAGTTGCATCACCGTCAAATCATCCGCTACAAAAACAAAATACTTCAACTTGAGTAGCAAGCCCAATTTTTCCCCTCCTAATTAATGTTAATTACTTTCCTTCATTTTCAAACATCTTGGCAGGAACGCATGACGAACCCCTAAGAACTGCTTGGGAGGCTAGGAAGGTACTTTTTACGCATGTCTTGTCATCACTTGAAAACCCGGAGAAATATTCGATCGATTTCATTTCAACTCTGTTATACCAGCGGTAGACGAGATGGTTGACTCGGTCGTCTCATTCGTGTTGAAAGTTACTGAAGATTGGGGCAGAAAATTAGTAACACAAAAGCTCAGGAGTGGTGGTGCATTCGCTCATTCGCTAAGTAACCTCATAGAAGCGGAGTTGTCTACCATGAGAAGGCAACTAGAAGCACTGACAAGAAAAGATCTTGATGAAAGTATCGACCTGGGGATGGGGAGCAAGGGTGGCGCAGTGGTGAGAGCGCTCGCCTCCCACCTTACACCGGGCCCAAGCTTAGGACCGCAGCTGCGGTATACACCCAACTCAAACAACAACCAAGAGAGGAAACGAGGCTCTCCAAAAAGAGGCCCATGAGGCCAAAAGGGGAGAGGAATAAAACCAACACTTTCAAATTCCAATTCGATCTGGAACGCACGGACACGTTTCAACGAGTTCTTATGAGCTCCTTAGTGATCCGTGGGTAAACAAATTACAATTTACAATTTACAATTTACCTTTTCCTTGAGGGACTTGCATCATATTATCTGCAGGCTAACGACAATAAAGCAGATACAGGCCCACAAAGCCCACAGAGAAAGAAAATGAAGATCATTTCTGACGTCAAACTTGATGAAATTGATGCAAGTGAAATCTTGGATGCAAGAAAAAGTTTGAGCGTCGAAACAAAAGAGAGGTTCAAAGATGCCCGTAAGAAAGCAGGATCAGCCATTGCTAATGAAGCAATGAAGACAAAAGACGTAATTTTAGCCACTTTTATAAAGGTTTTGTCGCAATTACTAGAAAGCGACGATTTAGCCACCGCACTTAACTTTTGTTTACATTACTTACAACGACTTCATTCTCGCGAAGAAATTAAAAAGAACTTTAAAGATGAATTAAGATTTATTGAAAAAAGGAATACATGGCAGCTTGCATTTGGCAGCATTGAAGCTAGAAAAATGATTTGGTGCGTCTGTCGCTTGAATCGCTTTGTTTTCCATGTGGCACGGGAGAACGCGAAGCATCTCCGGAGCTCTTTAAACAATGGCCGTGTGTTGAAATCGAGCGCAAAAGTACAAAAGAAGTTATAAAAATTGATCCTTTGCGTGATCCAAAGTTAAGCGATGCTTTTAAGCTAGAAAAACGGCCATTTTCTATTGCGCCTTCGTTATCTGACAAAAACGACGCAGGAGAAGAGTTGAGACCTCAGCCACCCAGTGGGAGAGCTGAAACAACTACATGCGCAGAGTACAACAACGAAGAAGCTTCCCCGAGTCCTTCCACCCATGAAACACCTGAGCGTCACGCCAAGGATGTTACACTGGTTTCATCGCAGACGACCTCTAAAGCGAAACGTGAATTGCAGTATCCCGAAGTGGCTCCCAAAGTAGGCATAAAGAGAAAGAGAGAGGAAGAAGAGGAATAGAGCCATTAAGTTATGTGAACAAAGAGCGTTTTCAAAAGAACAGTTGGTACTTTTTGCTGACGATTTTTGTAGCGAAGCAGAACTCTATCCTTTACACGCGGACAAATCGTTTGCATAGGTTTTCCTAAGTCGTTGCATACGAAAAGTTGTGTCTGATGTAGAATTCTCTTATGTCGAACGCTTTTACTTTCCCTCAACGTTCGATGCATATATAGACTGGATTAACTGACCAAGTATTACTGTGGCGGGCAAGAGGTGGATTGATCAAATGAGCACTCAAGTATTTTGCCTCATTGATCGAATATCATTCTGCTCTTTATTTAACCGTGTCTGTAACCTTATTCTTTAAACATGACATGACCATACAATTTCAGTTATAGCTAACAAAAATTAGTACCAGTATCATTTCCAGTTCCAACGCCAGCCGCTATCGTTTTCATGTTGAAACATGCTCCTAGTCCATCTTAGTAACATGGTTTACTTAATAACACGACGGCAAGTTCTGCATGCTGTTTATATTTGTCAAGTTACTTACAAGCTAAGGTGTGTTTCTATATATGCTGATTTCAATAGTACTCCTGGCATAGCTGACAAAGCGAAATAGTGTTGTAAATGATGTAGTTATTTTTTTTATCTCAGGTAACATGTATTTTAATGTTTCGTTTGTTTCAACTTCATTAGCATATATACATTACCATACCCAAAAACAAGAGAAAAAACAAAAATTACCGGAGATAAAAATATAAGTACAACATAAACATAAATCTGAGATATCTCAATACTCAGAAAATAACTCGGTTTACTACTCATACTACTCAGTGATTTTAAGACCTAAGCATTTTATTTTTGGTGTGTATGCATGTGTTTGAGTGTGTGCAGTGTGAGTGAGTTTGAAATTCAAGCGAGGATGTGTGAACGAATCATGAGGTGGGTGCATTCGCGGGCTGTAGCAAAATCAATGTGAAAAAATAATGTAATTCTGATGGGCTGCTCCCGACCGTTTCCACTTTCCAATTCCTTTATCGATTCGGGTATCTCTTCCCCATTTCGAAATATCGTTCACCATGTTTCACTATTAACTATCTTGCTAAAGGTTTAGAAATACATGCACTGCAGTGTATATTTTTGCCTGTCTGATCGGGCTTAAACCAGTTGTAATGTGGGACTGAAATAAGGTATGTACTTATTTTAAACGCTTGGTGGTAGTTTTGCGTTGCTTTTATTAGTACATCGGGCCTCAAAGGTCTTCCGTGTGATTTTCCTGTACAATGCATATACATTGAAAGAGCAAATAAATATTTTCCTTTGCAGCCGTCTCTTCAATAACAAGCCGCAGGGTTAAATTGGCGCCACTGAAACAGGAACAGTTAAAAAGCACTGCAGGTTATTTATTTTGCGATAAAGGCCGTTCAAAGTCTTATTTAGTTTTTTGATACTTTTTGTCTTACGCTTCATTTAAGTACTTATAGCACGCAAACAGCGGCTAAAAAGCACTGCCGAATAGCACGGATAGTTAGAACAGTTGATTTGGACGAATGCTCGCAATGCGTAACTGATCATTAATCACGGAACGTTCCTGTAATGATTCAGGCCTTTAACAGTTGCGTGTTCGAGGCTTTTTGTTTTCTGTCTTTTTTTCCTAAAAAGAAAGATAGAAGATTTAAAGGAGAAAAATACTGTGGACGGTCAGGTAGAAATTGGGCTGAACATTCATGACGGAAGAGTATAATCGGCTGACCGCTTTCACATTGCTTAAGCTGAAGTACTGTGGCTACACATGCCCGATATTTGGGAAGGGTGTTAAGGGTCTTCAAAAGACTAAATGCCCCACAGACGTAAAATTTAATAGAATTTCTACGATATGGCTTTTCTCTTTGAGAGTGCCAAGTGATAAACAGAGTGGCTCCGAAGCTGACTAGTTTTGCTTGAGCGGGGATACAGTGAAACCGAGTGTACCTCTTATTTTGGAAAAAAATGGTTTTCCTCTGAGATTCTATAACTTCAAGCAGACAGAAAGCAATTTATAAAGTTACGTTAACTTCTACTTTGTTTAAAGGCCTCCGGCAAATGCAGCTGATCGTGTGATGCTAATTACTAATAAATCACTAAGAGACGTAAGAGAGAAACAAGGAAAAAAATGATATCATAAAAGTTGAGTGAACAGAAAATTTGACTATTCCCTTGACAAAAGCTTTATTTTTTTCGTACATCGGATTGCCAAGTGTTCATCTACGCATATTGAAACGATGCCTGTTTGTTCAGTTTTACTTCTTTTGCTTAATTCAGTATGTTTTGAGCAAAAGATGGACAAATGATGAAATATGTTTGTGATACAGTTTCCTGCTTCTTTTATGGTTGAATTTAATGAGGTTTAATTACCTCATGCACTAAAGACAATGACATGCCAGGAGGGCAAAACCAGAGCAATCAAGTTCGAAAAAATAACAAGATCAACCTTAAAACATATCATTTCTTTCATAACACAAGAAAAGTTTAGCTTTGAAAAAGACGGAAGAAATAATTACGCTGAACCAACCGAAACGACAGGTTGTTAACTTTAATGAGTGCTACTAAATAGAATCGGACCACTTGTTTAATTCTGCCCGCGATAGAAGGTTAATATATAGATTTATTTAGGACATTTAGCAATTCACTATTTTCACATAGGTAGACCATAACATATGCATACAAACATGTATGTTTTTTTACTTGTAGCCTTATACAATAAATAGTATATCAACTATTTCCAAATAATGCACCTTGTTTTACTCCCCCCCCCCCCCCCCCGCCCACAACAAAAAGAAAAAAAAAAAAAAAAAAAAAAAAAAAAATAAAAAAAAAAAAAAAAAAAATTAGATATGTAAGTTTCTCGTGTTGAGAGCGGATACATACAGAAAAAAAAAAAACCCCCCCCCCCCCCCCCATCAAAAAAAGAATAATAATAATTAAAAAAATAAGAAAAATGATTTAATAAAAAAAATTGATTAACCGTTGTCTTCGATTTCCCCTGGGACAACTGTAATACCCAAGGAAAAATTGAAAACAATGCTTCTGCATTTTTTTGGAGGGAGGCGGAGAAAAAAAGATGCATCATGGTCTATGTGACAATGGCGAATAGCTAAAAGCGAAGCTCGCGTTCTTCCATTTATGCATTTATAATTTACTCCAGACAATGAACTTGGAATCACTGCAAAGAAATCAACCAATCTATACTTTAGGGGAGGACCAAACGACTTTCTGTGATCAATCAAAAGCTAATAACTGGTCAGCGAAAAACCTACAAAAACACGTGACCTCAATGAGATAGCACCTGAGCCCGCGATACGGCTATGACATCCTGATCAGCGGATACGGGCAAAATATTGTCAAACTCTTGGCAATAAGCCAAACTCATCAATTCGAATTATTTTTGGCAGATAAACCTTCAAAATTTCTGAAAAAAGTTGCCCGGCTTCTAGGTAAGATAAAAAATACCGTAAGCTTAAGATTTATAAGTTTATCTTTTCCAAAAAAAAATCGTCCTCTGAGAGGACATGTCCTTAGTGGTAATGGATAGTCTTTACAATGAAGAGGGGAAATGGCCAGTACCTATAAATGTATGGTCTGGAGGAAAAACGTTCACGCCGTGTGCTGCGAGGAAAATTATTTTCCAAAAGGAAAATTTAAATATCATTATTTCATCAAATGTTAATAGTTTGTTTTACTCAGTGTACCTTGTTTTTTCTTTCTTTTCTTTTTTCAGTAAGTTTGTTTCTTATTGCCAATTTCTTTGCCGTGCGTTATCTGTGGGACATATGTAACGCGGATAAATGCTGAGTCGTGACACATCGCGCGGCAGACTTTTTTACTTGCCTTGTTTACGTTCGCACGTATTGCGTGCCTGTTAAAACTTTGAATCAAAACGAGCGAACTCGTTTCTTCTTTACTTACGTTTGTTTGCTAATTGCCGCCAATTTAAATAAAGGACGTATGCAAAGGCCATAGCATCCATGATTTATATTACCCTATTCTTACCTCATCCACTTGCTTGGTGGCCTTGCTTGTTTCCTCTGCCATGAGTATATATTTTATGCAAAGTAACTTCATCTGTGCTTTGTATGGGACAGGAAAATGTAGCTTTTCAACATCACGTGATCCTTCGAGTTTGACTTCATGCAGAGGGACCACTTAGGATTCCGTACAAAACTTTAAGGCAACTTACGTTCGTATTATTTTTCAATTGGCGTAATCCAATTTATTTAAATTAATGTTTGGCCACTAAATGTGGTTTAAACTTTGTTTTCTGCTTCTGTTATGGTCATTCTTAAAGGCATCTTCGCTTTGAAATGCAGGCCCAGGATGCGGTTCTTGAGGCTCAGCATTGAATAATATATTTCTTTTGTTTTACTTCCCCAAGCTTCGGAGCCAAGTATGAATTTTCATATAACGAAAATTGATTTAGAGAGAAATTGTAAATATTATTTTGCCACTCACAGTAGTCTCTGTCCCCACCTGGTCCATCCACATTTCCAGGTTGTCCCACGATAGGCCCGTCTGGCTTTTGCAGTCCTGAATACGTGTCTGGCAGGGGACAACAGTGTATTTGTGACCTAAGATGTAGGTATTTTTGGCCAAGTAACAGACCTGACAAGTCAAACTTGGCTATACCGTACGGATCCCATGGCT